TGTTGGTACAGAGCAGACGCGGAGAGGGTGTCGGCCAGTGTTGTTTCTTATTATCCATCGTCAGATGCCCGAGAGTGCCCGGAGTCATGCGTCAACATCAGCGAATGCAACTGCACCGAGAAATCGCATGAGCAGGTTGCGTTGTGGAGCAGACGAATGGTACACAACAGCAGAAGAGATGAACCGAAGAAGAAGTTTCCGATGAGCAAGCACGTGATGCTAAAGGAAGACGAGGGTCTGACACGTGTTGCCCGGATGTGGGGTACCTAGTCACAGCGGCACCGCGAAATTGCCGCAGGTTTTAAAATTCAAAAAAAGGTTTGGGTGATCTGGCCCAAGCGCGGTCGCGAAAGTGTAGAGCACATGCTGCCCGTAGGCGCAAGCCTGCTCCTTTTCGCCGCGCTTGTAAACAGCAAACCCCCCCCCCCCCCCCCCCCCAAGACCCCCCAGACCCCCAGCACATTCGCAAACACTCGTGCGCACCATCTTCCATGTTGATCATTTTGACGGCTGCGAGGCGGCCGTTTGTCTTGATGCGCGCTTGATGCACGCTGCCATAGCTGCCACTTCCGATTTGCTTGATGAGCTCAAACAGCTCGTCGGGATCCCGCGAGGAGATGTGCGGCTGGGCGCGCTTCGTGTCCGCCATGGTGGTGCGCTAACTGGTGCTGTGGCTCACTTTGTTACCAAGCAAGCAAGTAAGCAAGTTGATTGATCGATTGGTTTTGCACTTGCCTGTTGTCCAAATCCTGAGGGTCACACCAAGCAAGCCAAAACCAACGGTCACACCAGCGACTCGCGTGAGCAACGCGGAAAGGGGAATGGTCAAGCAAAAAGCGGCACCAAGCCAATGGCGCAGAGGAATAACAACACCAAAGCAGCTCAGGAAGCAAGAGCAAAACAACACCCATGTCAAACAAAACAACACAGGGAAGGAAGGAAGGAAGGAAGGACATGTCCAGTCCACTAGGTGTTGGCAGCCACGCCCCACTCATTGTGCGCTCGTCACAACAACAACGATCACAAACAAAGCCCAAGCAAGCCATCCCCAAAGAACCACTAACACACACACACATGAACACACACATGCACACCCACACATATCGGACACAGACATAGGAACAGGCACACACTCACACAGGAGGCACCCACACGCACACATGCGGCATCCTCCACCAACACATCGTGCCAGCTCACTCACCAGCAAAACAGCAGCAGGAAGGAAGGAGGATCGAGCAGCAGCAGGAATGGAGGCAAAACGACATCAAAAAGAGTAGTCGCTGCGGTCAGGGCGTTGAAGACTGAAATCAGTCTGTACTGAAACAAGTGGCCCCTTCCACTGCCAGCCAGAACAGCAAGAAGCGCGCTTTCGTCAAGGTTCTAGCAGTTGCAAGAAGCGACCCACGTTGCCTTTTCACCACAACAAAAGGTGACTGTGCGTGTGTGTTGTGATCGCTTGCTTGCTTGCTTCTTCCTTCTTGCTTGCTTTGTGCTGTGATTGCTGGAGGTTGCTGGATGTGTGTGTGTGTGTGCGTGTTTTCCTTGGGCCACACCTGCTTGCATCGCTCGCATCGCTCGCTCGCGTCTGCTTCACTTATTTTCCATGATCACCGCTTCACCTCAAAAGCAACAGCATCCACAGCGACAACGACGACAACCACCACTAGCACCACCACCACCACCATGATGCTTGTCTCCACCACCACCTCTGCGCACTCACCTGCTGTCTCTCCTTATCGCCACCACCACCACCACCCACACGCTGGCCTCCATCAGCCTGGGCCGTACATGGCCAGCGCCGCGGCGCCGCCGTCACAACAGCACCAACACCAACACCACCAGCAACACCAACAACACCAGCAACACCAACAACAGCAGCAACACCACCAGCAACACCACCAACAACAGCAGCAACACCAACAAGCGCCGTACCAAGCACCTCGGTTCTCGGGCATGACCGAGACGAGGCAAGGGCAGCTGCCGGGCGTCCACGCTCGCGTTAGCGATGTAGCAGGTAACCGCGACGGTGCTGCACAGACAGAAGTGGAGGAGGGCGGGCTCCCAGCCAAGCGGCCCAAGTTTATTCGACCGGGCCTTGCTTCGCAGCTGCCGTCCCCCGTGCAGTCTCCGGCTGCCTTTTCGCCCTCATCAACGCGTGACTTGCAAGCGGCATCATCCTCACCCAAGCGGTGGTTCAGCCCGCGGCCCATGTATGACGCCAACGACTTTGCAGACGAGGTGCCAATGAAGCGGGCAAAGTGCGAGGACGGCCTCGCATTTGGCAGCCCGCTCAGCAGCCCCCGTCCCGCGTTCCCGTCCTCCTCCTCCTCGCACCAGCTGCTGCAGGGGCAGCGCATGCAGCAAGAGGGTGATGGCGACACTTCTGCAGAAGCAATGGCGATGCCAGCGACTGCTGCTGCCACGGGCACCGAAGACAACGGGGACGGCAATGGTGATGGCGGGGAAGAAGTGACGGAGATTGACATTCGCCCGCGACAGATGAGCCAGCCGTGTTTGCGGTGGTATGACACGCGTTCCCAGCGCCACCTGCCTGCGACCTACACTTCCTCGTATGGGCCAGCGGTGCCACGTCCCTTTGTGCCACAGCACATGCTGTACAACATGTACGTTGCTCCACCAGAGCACCACCACCACTGCCACCACCACCACAACCACCAGCAGTACAATCACCACGCGCCATGCACGCACATGCAGACAGCACCACCCCCACGCGCACCGGTTGCCCCACCACTGCCACTAGTGCGCTGCCGTTGGCCCACACAAACCTCACCCGCGCCACGAACTTGTTCCTTCCATTCTTCTTGTTCTTCGTCTTCTCCGCGTTTCAGGATGTCAGCCGGTTCTGACGAGCGGTTTGCGCTGGTGCCATATGTGCCACGCGACCATGTGATCCAGGCTGCGCTGCAGGCGCCGCAACGACAAGGGCAGCTGCAACAGCAGCAAGACGGTCCCTCCGACATGATGATCACCAGCGTGGACGGCGATGACGACGACGACGACACCACTGCTCGGGCCCAGCAGCAGCAACAGCAGATGCGACAGCAACTGTTGTTTGGGCAGCTTGGGGACAGTAGGCATAGCGGTTATGGACCAGCACACGCCTCTCTGAGTGCAGTGCAGCAGCAGCACTACGCGGATAGCGCCAGTGTCACCAGCAGCGAAGATGAATCCGACCCATACAAGGAGCACATTCTCATTGACAAGACACGCAGCATGTTTGGCTAGAGCCCTGTGTGTGTGTGTGTGTGTGTGTGTGTGTGTGTGTGTGTGTGTGTGTGTGTGTGTGTGCATGCGCGTTTGATGTATGTTTGTGTGTGTGTGTGTGTGTTTGTGTGCATATACGCGCGCATGAGCGCGCCATCGCGCCATTGTGCTTGTTTGTTTACTATTCTATTCGGAGGCTGAAGCCTTGAGAAGACGTGGTGCATGCACTGTTGAGGGTGCAGAGGGGAAGGCTTGCTTGGAATTTGCTACTTGATGCCACATGATGTGACTTGACTGACTGATTGAAATGAACCCCCGATTGAACGAACCAAGCCAAGGATTGTGCACTTGGGTGTGCCGTCACTGTAATGAAATAGCTGCTTCCCATCCATTCGCATCGACCCACAGCAATGCCACAGCCGTCTCACGAGCACATGAATATGTGTAATGTTACATAAACACAACACAACACAAACGAGTAAACCAAGCGAACCTCAGCCGTCACGCTGACACATCGACCCCCAACACTCAAGTGCCCAATTGAGACAATACAACCGCACCGTCGCACCGCATCCAATGTAGATACTGTTGCAAGGGCACCGTCACACAGCACAAACCACTTGGTTCCCAACCCCCCCCCCGCAACACGCACATTTTCACAACTGCTGGCTATGGTGTATCGCCGACACTGTATTCATTTGGGAAGGTTTTTAGAGAGCAGCGACAAGTGTACTCATGTCATGCCAAGCAAGGCCCATCTTCCGCCCACACGACGATGGGTGCAACAAGCGAGGCCAAGCAAGAGGATGAGGAGGACAGAATTGAGAACAAGCGGGGGAAGACCAGCACAAACGCAGACGTTACCACGTCACATCACCAAGCAGCAAATTCACACGCAAAACCGATGGCTCTTTGTCAAAAAGGCGCAAAGGACAGGGGCGTGGCGCTTAGGACATGTGCCTGATCCAGTTCTGGAAGGGCCCCTTCTCGGCGTGGAGCTTGACGTAGCAGCCATCGGGGATGAGCTTGCCCTCGTCGCGCAGGCGGATGTACTCGTCGCGGTCGAAGCGGGTGAAACCCCACTTGCGGGAGATGATGATGAGCTGACGACCGGGGAACTTCATCTTGGTACGGCGCAGGGCCTCGATGACGTGGGCCTTGTTGTTGTCGCGGGTACGCACAGACATGAGGGGCTGGCCAATCTTCACACGGGCAACCTTGCCGTTGGGCTTACCGAAGGCACCACGCATACCGGTCTGCAGACTGCACAGATGTGTGTGTGTTGGGGGGGGGGGGGAATGAAGATGAGCAAGCGCAGGTGTGCGTGCGTGCGTGCGTGTTTGTGACGACTGGGGGTTGGGAAGTGGGGGACAGGCACAACAAAGGACAAAAGGACAGCACAGTGTTCACGTTTCAGTGGGTGCGACACACGCGTGAACGTCTCCTCAACTCCCAAGCATAAACAAGAACGGCTGCGAGGGCAAACGCTGACAAGTGCGCTCACAGTCTGCAGCCAGCGCGTGCGCGTGCATCACAATACGTACCGATCCGCACCGGCGCAGGAAAGCATCTTGTTGATACGGATGACATGGAAGGGGTGGGCACGCACACGGATGTGGAAGCTCTCCTTGCCAATGAACTTCACAAGATACTTGTTGCAGCAGATACGGGCGGCCTCAAGAGCCTCGCTGGAGATCTGTGATTTGAAAAAGAAGGAAAGGGAAAAGAAATGGGGGGGGGGGGGAGGGAGAGGGAGGGTTGGAGACACATATGTGAGCGACTTGGCTGGCTGCGACAGCTGCTGCGAGTGGCTTGGTTTGTCGGGTTGAAAAGCGGGCCGCTAACGTAGGAACTAGCCAAGGTTGGACGAACCACGCAAAACCGTTCAAAGGGGAGCGGCAACTTCTCACAGAGCGCTTGTGCTGCTATGCACTTAACCACCACACCAATGCTGTCTCTCACGCACGACGAACGCGCTCACAGGGCACCTCATCCACATGGACGCCGCCCACGACACATGGACATGAGCGCTGCACACGCCGTCCACGTCACAACGACATGAACTCCACACACAGACACACAAAACAAGACGGCGCACCTGCTCAATCTCGTTGGAGACGAGGTGGATGCAGAGGGGAAAGTCGTTGACGTGGGCTGTCTTGCGGCCAAGATCGAAGATGCGAATCTTGGCATCGGGCACAGCGCGCACAAACCGAGACCGAGGGTACGGCTTGTTCTTGCAGTAGCGGTAGCAGCGAGCGGGACGGCGGGCCATCTTGGATGGTTGTGCTGCACACAGGGGAAAAAGGCGCACACGCAACAGGGAAACACACACACACACACACACGAGTGGTAAGAGGGAGGCTTCTTCTCGTGTTCACGTGTGTTGGCGTCAAGTGAGCACGCACAACCACTCGGTGCTGCATGCATAGCCACCAAGTTTGTCTTGTGTTGCTGGCGTGTTTCATCTATTGTCATCTCGCCACAACTACCACCACTATGGCCGTGATGATGGCGTGGTCGCTCACAGCAGCGAGTCGGCAAGAGACACAAATGTACACTCACGCACATGAACAAAGCACAGTGTTGTTCACGTACATATACAGACACAGCGACACAGCGACACAGCGACACAGCGACACAGCGGCACAGCGACACAGTGGCACAGCGACACACCAACACAAACGCACACAAACGCGCATGCACTCGACAGCCAACCATAAGACCGCGTGTGGTCTTCTTCTTCTTCTCCGCATCTCACCTTCGTCGCGGGCGTGTGAAGAGGGAAAAAGACAGTGCCGCGAGGTGGTGTGTCGTCTAACTGCGCACTCTCATGTCATGTGATGCTACTTGTGCGAACCGTGCAATGTTCTGATATATCCACCTCTTGTTTGCCTGAAGGTACCTTTTTTCGCTTCCAGCCATACAAGATACCAAATACATACAAATAATTCCATGCGCTTTTAGTTTGGAAGGACTTCATCTACTGCTTATGGTGTTGTTCAAGCAAGTTGGTCGTGGCTTGCACTGATTGAAGGCTGTGCCACTCTTGCTTGCTTCACTTCTTGCTTCTTGCTTGCTTGTGTTTGTGTTTGCTTCAGCTTGTGCGTTCTCGTGATGGAATGGGATGATGTGATGGTGATGGTGTTGGTGTAGGGGCTGTTCTGGTCGTGCGTGTGAATTGATGTGAACTGAGAACTGAACTGTGCGTGTGTTCATGTGTCATCATTATCGTCGTTGTATGTGTTCTGGGCTCCCATTCTCAACAGCTGCAATCAGTATGTACACACCCAAACAAACACCACCAGCAAACACCACACACGAGAACGAAGCAATATCAGTGTTGTTGCTTCAGTGCCATCTCATCCGTTCTCGCTTGCTCACTCGCTTGCTCACTCGCTTGCTTCCTCGCTTGAGCTTGCTCACTCGCTTGCTTTGCGCTCACTGCTCACTGCTCACTGCTCACTACCGCTGCTCTCGCTCCCTCCCTTGCTTCATGTTCATTTATTTTGTTTCCTCGACCCACACCACAGATCAACGCCACCGCGACGCTTGACTGACTGAGAACCTCGCCTTCTGTTCTGGCGCGCACACCTCTAAAAGACCCTCCTTCGCTTTGCACCACCGACCGTGCCACTCTACTACGTAAAGCCCAGCAAGATGCCAAACCTCGGCGACGTGTTCCCGGACTTTGAGGCCGACACCACGGAGGGCCCCATCAAGTTCCACGACTGGCTCGGCGACAGCTGGGGCCTCCTCTTCTCCCACCCGGCAGACTTCACCCCGGTCTGCACCACGGAGATGGGCGCCATGGCCAAGATGAAGCCCGAGTTTGACAAGCGCAACTGCAAGCTCATTGGCCTCTCCTGCGACCCCGTCGACTCCCACAAGGCCTGGTCGAAGGACGTGTGCGACTACGCCAGCTGCGGCGCGTCCCTGCCCTTCCCCATCATCGCCGACGACAAGCGCGAGCTCGCCGTCAAGCTCGGCATGCTCGACCCCGACGAGAAGGACAAGGATGGCATGCCGCTCACCGCCCGCGCCGTCTTCATCGTCTGCCCGCACAAGCGCCTCAAACTCTCACTCCTCTACCCGGCGTCCACGGGCCGTAACATCCCCGAGCTCCTGCGCGTCCTGGACTCGCTCCAGCTCACCGTCGACCACAAGGTGGCCACCCCGGCCAACTGGAAGGACGGCGACGACTGCATGGTTGTGCCCTCTATCAAGCCCGAGGACGAGGCCAAGATGTTCCCCAAGGGCGTCAAGGCCCGCGACGTGCCCTCGGGCAAGCGCTACCTCCGCTTCACCCCGCAGCCCAACAAGTAAACTGGCACCCGCGAAGCAAGCATGCACACACACACTCCCGCACTGACTGTACCGCATTTTGCCGTGTCATTTCCTGGCGTTGACGTTGACACTGCTTCGCCAGTATCGTGTGTGTTTGTGTGTGTGTGTGTGTTTGTGTGTGTCAGTGCGTGCGTGAGGGGACCTTTCCCCTTTGTGCCCATCTTGGGCTTTCTTGCTTTCCTCCGTGTTACTGATGCTTTTCTTCTGCCCCCCCCCCCGAGCTTGCATGCACGCATGCAAGCGTGCTCGCGTGTGATATGGTTATGTCATCACTGTTCCCTCTCAATACACAAGTCACAAGGCGATGCAATGAACCCAAGGCGGCCAATGCAATGACACCCGCAGCACGATACCACAACACATTACATTCCTCGTTCACATCTGCTCTGGTGGCGGGTGTACTGTGTCAAGACTGCGCGCGTGTGCACAGCGGAAAGTAACAAAAGAAGTGGGCATGCACGAAGCCACTTGACATCACATCGAGCATGCACACAGACTATGGACAAAGCTGCCACGGCGTGGGCGTCATGGCAAGGGAGAGCATGCTAGCTGGTGGTGGAGGTGGCGGTGGATGTGTCCTGTGTCTGCTGTTGTTGCTGTGGCGGTGCCAGGGCGGTTGTGTCTGTGCCGTTGTTTGTGGCTGGGTGGCTGCCACTGGTATTGTCGCCGCTGGTGGTGGTATTGGTAGTGCCTTCGTGATGGCCTGTGTCTTCCCCCTCCTCGTGTAACGCCTCGCTCAAGCCCCGCCGCAGCTCCTACAGTTTGTGTGTGTGTGTGTGTGTGTGTGTGTGTGTGTGTGTGTGTGTGTGTGTGTGTGTGTGTGTGTGTGTGTGTGTGTGTGTGTGTGTGTGTGTGTGTGTGTGGTAGGGTA